CGGTACTTTCAGTATACTCTCCGAGCAGATATCTAGGTTCTGTTTCTGAAAATTTTCATAATGCATTGGAAAAGGTAATTATTAGTTACCTTATCTTTGATATTTATGTTTAATACGATATCAAATTTATCGAATCCATTTTAATTGTATAAAGTACGTAAAGGAGAATCCTGATAATCTATTTGGTGAATCCCTCGAAGAAAGCTCATTGTCTGGACCAGCATTTATAAAACTCATGCATCTTAAATACTTGCATAGTCTTGTTGAACCTGGAGAAGCAGTTGGTTTATTAGCTGCTCAAGGTATTGGAGAACCTTCAACCCAGATGACTTTAAATACTTTTCATTTTGCTGGTTTTGGTGCAAAAAATGTTACGCTTGGTATCCCCCGTCTTCGTGAAATTATAATGACAGCTTCTGCTGATATCAAAACGCCCATGATGACTCTTCCTTTACGAAATTATGTTTCTGATGAAGATGCCAAGAACTTCTGTCAAGAAATTAGTAAATTAACACTTGCTGAAGTTATAGAACAAATGACAGTACTTGAACAAATTATTCGAAAACAAGGTGATTCTGGATCAACCGAAGCAATACGTAAAAAAATGTATACAATTCGTATGGAATTTTATCCAAAACACGAATATAAAGAAGAATTTAATATTTTGCCATGTAATATTGAGGATGCGATTGAATTAAATTTTATTAAATATCTTGAACTTTCCATAAAGAAAGAAGTCAAGCATGCTAGTAATATAAACAACACAGTTGGTAGGTACAAATTAATTTATTATTTTCTTTAATACATTTAAATTTATAAATATCTATACAACTTTACAGATGTTGCAAATTTTGATTTTGGAAAGCCACTCAGAAAATCAAAGGAATTAAGAAACGAAACATTTGATGAAAACGCGCCTATTCGAAACGTCGGCGGAGATGGTATATATTCAGTTCAATATGATTGTTTATAATGCATATTTCCAGCTTTATTTAACGTTTGTTCTGACTTTAATTTAGAATCAGATGATGGGGATGGTGATGCGACAAATGCAAAGGTTCGTTTAAGAACTCGAGAACATGCTACATATGATGCACCTGATGAGGATGATTTAGAGGTAATCCGACAAAACCAAAGAGCTTTCCCCGATGAAGAGGATTTTGAAACAACATTTGAAGATGAAAATAATAATAATGAGCATCCTAATGGTTTAAATGAAGAGAATGAGCATGACAAAGGCACATCAAGCACATCTTCACGTCGACAGAGAAATAATAGAGTTGTAAATGGATTAAAGGATAGAAGTGACAGAATTATATTGGGTTCAAGTTATGTCACCAATTATCTCTTTGATTATGACAATGGTAACTGGTGCGAAATTGAATTACAGGTAATTTTAATGACATCATGTAAAATTTAAATTATAATAATAAATGAATATTATTAACTTTAATTTAATAATGATTTAGTTTCCGCCTGGAACGAAAAAATTATTATTATTAGGTATGGCTAAATCTGCAAGTAAAAAGGCAGTTATACATGAAATTCATGGTATTTCAAAATGTTATCCTATTGAGAACGAAACTCATGATGATGCTTCAGTAGGTGTTATATGTTAAATTTGAACTTTTATTGTTCTTTGATATTTTTCTAAATACATATTTTAATTTAAAGAAAATAGTTGCAACGGAGGGTGTTAATTTCTACAATATTTGGAAATATGACAATATAATAGATTTAAATAACATTTATTCCAATGATATAGCCGCTATTCTCAATACTTATGGCGTCGAGGCAGCAAGAGCAGCTATTCTAAAGGAGATTTCGGGTGTTTTTGCTGTATACGGTATCGATGTAAACCCCCGACATTTAACCTTAGTTGCTGATTATATGGTAACAAATATTATTCCCTTATTTCAATTTATTAAGTTTATTACTAACATTAATTTCTAAATTTATAATAGACTTTTGAAGGAAAATACAAACCATTCAATAGAATTGGTTTAGATACAAGCACTTCTCCTTTATTAAAAATGAGTTTTGAAAGTACATGTTCTTTTTTAACACAAGCTACTCTTCATGGAGATACTGATTTATTGGATTCACCATCAGCCAGATTAGTATTAGGTAAAGTTATTCAAGGCGGAACAGGATCTTTTGAAGTTAGAGTTCCATTTGAATCAATTCCAAAATATCTTAAAACTTGAAAATAACAAAAAACAAAATTATATTTTAATTATTTATAAATAAGTTTAATAAGTTTTAAATTTTATTATAATATTTTTTTAATAATTTCGATTTTAAAAATAATTTTAAAATTAAAATTTTTTTAACTTACAGTAATATAGAATATAATATAAAATGCTAATTATAATATAATTATGGTTAAAAAAAATTCTAGAATTTAATGTTATTAAATGAAGTAAGTATGTAATAAAATAAAATTATATTAATACTTATAAATAAAATAATAAGCTATTTATTAATGATAATGTTAAAAAAAAAAAATTTTTTTATTTTTTATTAAATAAGGCGTAGCAAAGTAATATTATTGTTTTTTTTATTTTTTTTTATGATTGACCAATAAAAATGCCAATTTTTAATATCACGTAATTGCTATCAATCACAAATTTAATCATTAATTTGATTATATTTGAATATACTTTTTAATCGTTCCTCACTTACCGTATCCTCCAAAATACATTGATATTTCCGCTGACTTTGAATATATTTAAAATTTGTTTCATTTTCAAATAGAGACAAAAATACATTCTCAGGAAATCGATCAATTGATATAGTAAAATGTGATAATTACTGGTGATCGATTTAGGTGATATAATCGAAAATGGTCCATATGCGCATTACAAAACTTTTCTATTCATCTGATTGGCTCACAGATTATAGATGACGTTTCGTGTATCATAGATCACGTGAAATTTGGATAAAATCAGTCATGCTTTTCAACAAGATTTGTTTTTGTTTCAATCACGACAAGCGACCATATGGGACCAAGCAGGGTGGACATACTTATATCACATGTCGATCATTTTGCCGATCATATTTTGTATTATCACATCAGCGTTTGC